AGAATATATAACACCCTTTCAAGAGAAGATTATACATAAAACTTTGTAGTAAAAGTAAATTGATACAAGCCATATAATAGTTGTATTATATTGAAATTAAGCTAATAGTAGATAATACCATTATCATTTCCCTAGGCCTGGAGGGGAACCCAACATGTGTCAGTATTGAAGTGAGGAGCTTTAGGTTAGTATTGCATTTATCTTTAGTTGAATTTACTCCAGCATTTGCTTTTGCATACTATTTAAAGCTTTCTAGCAAGTCAAAATCACTGCGAATGTAGTAAATTATTGCAAAACTTACCCAAAAGAGCATCAAGCGATATCATATTTGCAACTGGATTGTCTGCAACCATGACCGAAAAGGCTGAGACCATATCTGCAGCTGTGCTTGACCTCTGTGTGGCAGCTAGCAAAGTATCATATCCATCTTGCAATTTATAAGTTAAAGATGGATTACCTTGAATTAACAAAGCAGCATTTCCATCTCTTGGATTTAAGCATTTATCTACAATGAGAAAAGAAGCCCCATTTGGTGGTGACTACATAATGAATTCAACATGTGATGTAGAGTACAAAAATGTTATCCACATTAGCATGAATGCATGTAAATTGTTACAATAACAACAGAACACAACATTTGCAAAAATGGTTCTCCACTTCTCTATATATCTTTTTATGGGGTAGAATTCACAAGATCAAACCATACGACTTGCAAGTATTCTCAGTTCTAAAGATATTAATGCATGATAGGAGATCCTATACATAAGCACATTCAGATGAAAGATCTATTGCTTTGCCATAAATTGAAAATATAAAGTTTCTCAAATAATTTAATTTTGAGAACTCTTTTATCAATTAGAACAATAGAAGATAAACCTAAGGCATCAGAATCATGCTATTTTCATCATCTGCCATCAACTTATAAAATTGAAGCAACATACTGTATAGAACTGATAGCATTAAAACTAATAATGCTAATTTGACTAAGAATCGCATAATAAAACGCATACGACGACAAAAGCTAAACTTAATCCAGAAACAACTAAACCAGCTTGCAAAAATTCCAACTCTAGCCGAAACACAACAGATTAGGGATGTTTTCCTCAACAATTTGTTGTTTCTAAGATATTTCTACACGAAAATCAATGACAATAAGAGATAAGAGCAGAGAGAATGAGAAAGCAAGATAAATCTTATAGATATGGCTTTGGGCTAAGGAGGATTGGCATCCTGGCTGGCGATCAAAGCTTCCGAACCAAACAAACAAAGAGCTGCGAAGCTAACTGTTAGGAATATAGCGGACTAATGCGGAAGCGAAGAATCGAAAATTGAGAATTATAGAAGTTAAATTATAGGGAAAATATATATAAACGAAGAAATTATATAGAATGACAAATGAATATAATATAAAATGAGAAAATATAAAATATATATATTAAATTGAATATAATATATATATGCTACGTGAAGAATAAAAATAAAGAAGGAAGAATGAATTCAATTTGATACAATTACAAAGCAAAGACAAATGCTATTTATACATTGCAAAGGGAGACAAATGTGCATGAATAATGGGAACATGTGCATTACGTGGGTGATGGTGCGACATGCAGTCCGTAAGTGTTGGAGCGCAAGGTGGATGGCCATGCGACGTGGATGCAGCAGAAGATCAATTCTTCATGGATTTGAAGCCACACACTTATGTCTTAACAATCTCCACCTTGGATCAAATCCATTGTGGAATTAACAACTGGAACAGCCCGACTAAACTCAAGCACTACTTGAACTTAGCAACAGGAAGAGTCTCGAAATAGCAGGATGGAACACCATCAACCTCCTGTGTGACTGAAAGAGCATAAGCAACCAAGTTGGTTTCATCATCACTAGCATACCTAGCAGGTTTCTTAATTGTCCTCCTAGGACGATCCATAGCAATGGAATACTCTCGTTGTGGCTCGACGAGAGGTGCGACGCTAGTAGATGCATCATCTTTAGTATTACCATCAGCAGTAGTAACACTATCAATAGGCCTGAACTCAAACTCCACCTTCTCACCAGTACTCTGTGTCTCATCTGTACTGGGAACTTTTCCAGAAGAAAGTAGTGCATTTTCATCAAAAGTGATATCTCGACTCAGAATGATTTTCCGAGAATCAGGAGACCATAGACGATACCCTTTTGACTCAGAGGCATAACCAAGGAAAATGCATTTGACAGCTCTCGGGTTCAATTTACCCGTACTGGAATGAGCATAAGCAGGACATCCAAAAACTCTTAAGATAGAGTAATCAACAGGATTACCTGACCAAACTTCCTCTGGAATTTTGAAATCAAGGGATGAATGTGGAGATCTATTTACCAAATAGAAAGCAGTAGAAACGGCCTCGGCCCAAAAATCACGCCGTTTCCATAACCCAGCATTAGAGAGCATACAACGAGCTCTTTCCAATAGAGTCCTGTTCAAACGTTCGGCAACACCATTTTGCTGGGGTTTACCAGGCAAGGTCTTATGCCTGGCGATTCCATTTGCCGCACAGAAGTCATTGAAATCTGACTCACAGAACTCCAAGCCATTGTCTGCCCTGAGCTTCTTGACTTTTTTACCTGTCTGAGTCTCAACAAGTATTTTCCATTTCTTGAAAATAGAAAATGCTTGATTTTTATGTTTCAGGAAATAGACCCAGACTTTACGAGAAAAGTCATCAATAATAGACATAAAATATCTACAGCCTCCCATAGACTGGAATTTAGTTGGACCCCATAAATCGGAATGTATATATTCCAAAACATCTTTGGTACGGTGTGTAGCAGTAGAGAAACTAACCCTCTTTTGTTTCCCAAAAACACAATGCTCACAAAATTGTAATTTACCCGTACCTGAACCAACAATGAGGCCTTTCTTGCTCAGGAAATGCATGCCTTTCTCACTCATATGCCCCAGACGCATATGCCATAATTGAGTGAGATCCGCATCAGACATCGATGAGGATACCGCTACTGAACCTGTCACAGTACTGCCATGCAAGATATACAAGCTTCCAGAACGAGAAGCTTTCATGAGAATAAGAGAGCCTTTTATGACCTTCAAAACTCCACCTTCAGCTGTGTACTTGCACCCCAGAGATTCCAAGGTGCCCAATGATATCAGATTGCGTTTCAAATCAGGAATATACCGAACATTGGTAAGAGTCCTGACAACGTTATCATGAGCTTTAATCTGCACACTTCCAATTCCACTAACCTTGCATTGGGTATCATCACCGATCAAGACAACTCCACCATCAACCGGTTCCAGAGAGACGAACCAGTCTTTGTGAGGACACATGTGGAATGTACAACCAGAGTCCAGAATCCACTCGCTTTCACTCCGTTTCTCACCGGAGCTAACAGATAACAACACATCACCATCTGAATCACTTTCAACAACACTAGCTTCAGCGGACTTCTTTTCTCTCTCTTGCTTGTTTTTCAACTTGAAGCATTCAGTCACATCATGACCATGCTTCTTGCAGTACTTACAGGATTTGTTGGACTTATGTCCTTTGGACTTGGATCTAGAATTTTTATTGCTACTCCCTGATTCAAGTGAACGACCCCTTACAGTCAAGCCTTCACCTTTGTCCTCAGACTTAATTTCAAAGTCAAACTTTTCTTTGGACAATAGGTTTGACTTAACACTGTCGAAAGTAAGGGTATCACTACTATTACCATACAGCATAATTTCTTTGAAATGCGTGTATGATCTAGGGAGAGAGACAAGCAATAAAACAGCGCGATCCTCATCTTCAATTATAACATCAATATTTTCCAAGTCCAATAAAATAGAATTGAATTCATCCAAGTGAGATTTAATAGAAGTACCTTCCGTCATACGGATTGTGTACAGACGCTCCTTCAGGCGTAGCGTGTTCGCTAGAGTTTTGGCCATGTAAAGCGTATCCAGCTTGGACCATAAATCTGACGCAGTCGTCTCACTTAACACCTCACATAAAACCTCTTTAGACAGGCACAAAAGAATGGTTGAACGTGCCTTGTCATCCAGATCTTCCCAATCTACATCTGCCATTGTAGCCGGTTTCTTCTTCTTCCCAGCTAGCGCTTTCTTCAAACCGTTCTGGGTTAGAACGGCTTCCATCTGAACCTTCCAGATAGAAAAGCTAATTTTCCCGTCGAACTTCTCGATATCGAACTTAGTAACAGTCGACATCTTTGAAAATAATTCTCAAATAAACCGCTCTGATACCACTTGTTAGGAATATAGCGGACTAATGCGGAAGCGAAGAATCGAAAATTGAGAATTATAGAAGTTAAATTATAGGGAAAATATATATAAATGAAGAAATTATATAGAATGACAAATGAATATAATATAAAATGAGAAAATATAAAATATATATATTAAATTGAATATAATATATATATGCTACGTGAAGAATAAAAATAAAGAAGGAAGAATGAATTCAATTTGATACAATTACAAAGCAAAGACAATGCTATTTATACATTGCAAAGGGAGACAAATGTGCATGAATAATGGGAACATGTGCATTACGTGGGTGATGGTGCGACATGCAGTCCGTAAGTGTTGGAGCGCAAGGTGGATGGCCATGCGACGTGGATGCAGCAGAAGATCAATTCTTCATGGATTTGAAGCCACACACTTATGTCTTAACACTAACCGATCGAATCCTCGTCGGAGCCATGCGGCCGGAGAATTCTAGAACGCAGGGGACGAGAGCTAGCGAGAGAGAGAGAGATCGTAAAGAGAAATGAGAAATATCTTGGTAGAATTTCATCGACCACCAACCGAACAAAATATTTATTTAAAAAACTTACCCGTCTAGATCTAAGCGGTTGACGACCTCCATCGCAAGCTCCCTGTCGCGTCGCAGAAGGGAGAGGATTTTGAGAGAGAGAGTGGGATTAGAGAGAAGACATGCTCTCCGTGTCGCATCACAGACCACCATCGCAAGCTCCCTCCGTCGCGGTGGTGGCAGTGAATGGTGGGTGGCAACGAGGGCAGTGAGACGATTGGTGCGACGGTGGATCGAAGCAACGGTAATGAAGACTATTTTAGATCAGATGAGATGCGATTTCTGATCTAGGTAGTAGATCTAGTTTAGGGTTAATATTAGGCAACCATTTTTAAGAAATGGTTGCCTATTATAAAATAATTTCTATTTTAAGGCAACTATTTCTATTAGAAATGATTGTCTATTATAAATTAATTTTTTTTAAATAAATAAAAAATACAATGGGCAACCATTACAGTTAACAATGGTGGCGGATTATTGATCACTTATTTACAAAATTGCCACCGCAAATTTTTGGGCTAAGATTAGGCAACCATTCTTTCAACAATGGTGGCCTATTGTCAATCTTCTATGTTCAATTTTGTACTAGTGTGCACAATTAAATAATTAATTGCAACGATTTTAGTTGTCACTAGATCAAGTTTTTGTAATAGCATATTTAGTCACAAATTATACATTTATTGTGACAACTATCGTTATCACTCAAATACTACTTTTAGTGTAAGTAAATAGTCACAAAAGTAGTATTGTCACAAAAGTAGTGATTAATTGTGACAACTTTTCAAAAGTCGTCACTACTACAATAATGACGGAAGATATAGTGACGACATGTGACGACTTCAAAAATTGGTAACTAATTTTAATAGTGACCAAAATTGATAGTTTCGGTGACAACTTCTATTGTCAGTAAATGTTAATTTTGTTAATATAGACTTTCCGCGGAACCCGATAAACTTAGGATGCCGCGAAAAGTATTATATTATTTTTTTTAATAATTGATTTCCGTAACACAAAAAGTTACCATTTTCCATTTGAACACTTAATATTTTCCATTTTGGTTCTCTAGTTTTCTGAAATATTGAAAAAAACATAGCTCAAATGAAACCCATCAGAATTTCAAATCAATCCTCAAAATGCATATTATTCAGTCCACTACTTTTAACATTTTAATTGAAAAAGTTCATCATAGGGGAATAACCACCATTCTTAAGCTCATGCCAATTTACAAATATTTTACTTAAATTAACAATGCAGTTAATATATTAACAAAAAATCAATATTTATAATGATAAGTATGAGGACTCAAAGTACAAGACTGTTTCATTCTTGTTTTAATGATGTATTGAACTGAATTACCGAAATCTTCATAAAAATTTTCCCCGATAATTTGCGACACCCATTTTTTGAGGGTGCCGCGAAATTCTCTAATAAAATAATAATAAACTCTCCGCCGCACCCTCTCGAGGCGGGTGCCGCAGAAAGCTTTTTATTTTTTATTTTTTTATTTCGAAATTACTTTCCACTACACTTTTGTTTTAAGGGTATAGCGAATTTTTATTTATTTTAACTTTCCACTACACCTTCATTAGGGGGTGTAGTGTAAAGTTATACTTATATACTCATTTTTGTAGTAGTGAGTTAATAGACCATTCTTGGAATTAATTATATAATTAATAATTAATTACTATACTTGGAAATATGGTACCAATATAGGAATAAATTAAATATAATTCATTATCTTTTTTGAAACAAATATAGATTCATTTATAGAAAATAGAATCCTTTGGATATTTGCATATATTATCACGGTGATAACTAGTACTGTCAAATCCATACTGCGGTTTGTGGTATTTCTTTTTTGGTACCAATATAAATTTAGTATACTTGGTAATTCAATTAGTACTGATAAATTTTTATTTGAAAGCTGTACTGATATGATAATATCACCTATTTACTACTTTACCATAAACGTAACCAATTAGTCAACATAAATACCTCGGCTCAAATCATTGTCATCATCAGGAAAAAAAAAAAAGTAAAAGAAAATATAGATCAGAGTTGAGAAAATGGGGTTCAGTTTGTTTTCTCATCCTAAGCTGTGTCTTTTGCTAATACTTTTTGTGACTGTGTCTGTAGTTAATGGCCGCCATACCTATCATATCACTAATTATGGTGCCAAGCCAGATGGAAAAACTGACAGCAGCAAGGTACATATATATATATATATAGAAAACATTTATATGTATATATCCATCACTCCATAGTTGCAACTAAAGGTTTACATTAGAAGAATTAGTGCAAAATTTGTACAGAATGAAGATAACCAAACCAAATTAGCTAAGATACAAACTTGTAACCACAAAATCACGTGTTTAAATTCCAGTTTTCTTTGTTGAATCAGCCAGCTATGAGTAACTTAGGCTAATTTACCTCATTGTGGTCATTTGCGGGTTAGGATTACATGGGAAAGTTTACCTATTGTGTACCATGAATAGTGGTTGCAGGTTTCTTTCGTCACACTGAAATAATTCACACTGATCTGATTTGTACTTTCAATATATGTATATTTGTAGGCATTACTGGAAGCATGGATGCATGCATGCAAAGAAAGCCGTAGCACGGTGGCCGTTACAGGCGGGGAGTTCTTACTGAATCCCGTGAGGTTAAGCGGCCCATGCGCCGGCCCGATAACGTTTGCCGTGTGGGGCGGTTTGAAGGCTCCAGAGAAGACTTTCCTCGACAGCTCGGAGTGGATACTGTTCGAGGATCTGCAAAGCTTAACCGTCACCGGGAACGGCGTTTTAGATGGTCAGGGTGCATACGCCTGGAGTGTGAACCAATGCAATGTTAACCCCAACTGCAAACCTTTCCCTACGGTATGTATATACATTTATTTAATTTTTGGTTTTTCTTAATTTGATAATTTGTGAGACCGTCACACTAATCTTTATTCGTGCGTAGAGTTGTGTCAATATAAAAATGTAATATTTATGATGAAAATATAAGAAATGGTAATACTTTAAATAACAAATGTAATACTTTTACTTGATAAAAAAAATGTAATACTAATAAGAAAAAATATAAGAAATTGTAATACGGTCTGTATATACATTCAATTTATTTCTAATTAATATTATAGTTTTGAGTCTAAGTATTATATTTAAATTTTGACATCTCACGAACAAGGATCCCTGAGACATGCTTTTCTGCTTTCTTAATTATATAAATATAATTCTAATGCGTACTTTTTTTGTTCTTGAACTATTGATGTTTAGAATTTGACATTACCTATAATTCTAATGCGTACTTTTTTGTTCTTGAACTATTGATGTTTAGAATTTGAAATTCGGTAATGTCGTATATGGACGTATTGAAGGGATAACTTCACGGGATAGTAAATTTTTCCACATTGTAATCGACGAGGGTCAACACGTGGATATTGAAAATATAAGAATAACGGCACCGGCGGATAGCAAAAATACCGATGGAATTCACATCGGCCGGTCACAATTTGTGCAAGTCAATAATGTGAATATTGGGACAGGGGACGATTGCATTTCGTTAGGGCCAGGAACCACAAACGTTGTGATCAGTCAGGTGAATTGTGGTCCTGGCCATGGCTTTAGCATTGGAAGCATAGGAAAAAGTGAAAATGAAGATGTGAGTGGAATTATTGTGAAGAATTGCAATATCACAAACGCCACAAATGGGCTTAGGATCAAAACGTGGGCACCTTCTACGGCCAGCAAGGTCTACAACATTACCTATCAAGACATCAGTTTGAATGGTGTTCAAAACCCGATTCTCATCGATCAACACTACTGTCCCAACAACCAATGCCAACATCAGGTATACTAATTTCTGCTTGCACGCCTATAGCTTTCTAATTCAGTATGTAGTATTTGTCGGGTCGAAGTGTGGGGCTCAAGAATTGAATTAATTAATTAATATTTAATCTTTGTGTACAGGGGGAATCATCAGTTGAAGTCTCAGACATCAGATACTTAAACATTTATGGGAGCTCCCAGGACGAGTTGTCTGCGAATTTCAATTGCAGCGGAAAAGTGCCGTGTAAAGACATAGAGATCAGGAGATTGAATATAGTATACAATGGTTATCAACCCACGAAAGCAGCTTGCTACAATTTTAATGGGAAATTTCGTAAATGTCAGTGTCCAAATCATTGTTGGTGAGATGTTAGTTGTATGTGGTAGCTTAGCATCGATACACACATTCTATGGTAGCTTATTTTTCTATATACTTCTATTTATAATGGTTCTTGAACCATTTATATACACCGAATAAAAGTGTGTACGTGCGGTTCTTGAATCTTGTATTAATGTACTATTAATAAAATGGGGTGTTTTAGTTCTTTTGTTAAAAATAGCTAGTCATTATTATTATTATTATGTTTTTTTGAAAGGAGCTATTCATTATTAATAGGATATGATTATAACTTAATTTACTGCTAACAAGTAACATTATAACGGTATTTTTTGGTCCGCGAAAAATATTTGAAAATAAATGAAATTAAAATTTCATAAAAAATATATTATCAGGGACTCAGGGAGATTGATTTCACTATTCGATTGGTAAAAACTAAATTATCTGAAGTATTAATTTTATTGTTTGGCTGTGTTAGTTGAAATGGTAAGGAATAATAAGTATATATAATGATCAAAATGCCCCTACGCAATGATAATCTATACGGTTAATAAAAATAAAATTCTCTATTTTAACTTCTTGCTCAAAACAGTCTTATACTATTAAAGTTTGGTTAATATTGTAAATAGTATAATACAATTCCTAATAGAATATATTGTTTTCGACTTTCCTATTCGTACTACAATTGTACATTCAAATTCCTATTCTAATATGGTAAAATAATGTAATACAATTCATAATAGAATTTCTCCTCTTCGAAGTACAATTCTAATGACCAAAATGTTTTTACTCAAATGATAAGGATAATAAAGGTAATAGTGATTTTTTTATTTTAGGAATTTTTTTTAATTAGATGTGTAATTTATAATATGTTTTCTATTCAATTATTTTATCGAATTAATTATGTTTCATATTATGTTATGAATATTTTTATAAAGTTTTGATGTGTTTAATTTTTTTGCTCATACTCAACAATATTTATGACTATATTTTAAGTCTTGTGTTTTGTTTTTCAAACTATCTCTTTTGTTATAATGTTTCACCCCCACTGAAAAATACCTTTTGACATGTGGGGAGGAATATCATTTCGAGAAATTAAAAGAACATGGACGGAAATACCAAATATGTCCCCTGTGCGCATGGCTGCAGTTAGGGAAAATGGTTTGCCTTCTACAGCTGAAGCACCTCCTTTGCTTGCAGTTGTAAATAACCAATTGTATGCAGCTGACTATGCTGACATGGAAGTTAGGAGGTATGACAAGGATAAAAAGCTAAGGTGTGGGCTATTAAAATAAGGTGGTTAAAAATAATAAGGTGTCACAAAGCTTGTGGTTTTGAAGGGATCCGTGCGCGATCAAGGTCGTTGCAATGATGAGAATATATTTTCTGTATTCAATAATAATGTCTGAGAGTACAGAGAGCGAATATATAGAGATGCTAGATAGAATCCTAGTCTAACACGAATAATATAGTCTTAGTTAATATGGATAATATAATCCTAGTCTAATATGGATAATAGAGTCCTAATACTCCCCTTCAAGCACAAGGTTGGTCAGCCAAAACATTGAGCTTGCAACGGAGTAAATTAAAACGTACATACGAAAGAGACTTAGTAAAAATATCCGCTATCTGATCTTTGTAGAAATAAAATTGAATTGTAATTCCTTCTTCGCGACTTTATCACGAACAAAGTGGTAGTCGATCTCAATGTGCTTGGTATGAGCATGAAACACCGGATTAGCACACAGATAGGTAGCTCCCAGATTGTCACACCAGAGTTTGGGCACAGAAGGTGGCGCAAACCCGATTTCCTTCATCAGAGAGACGAGCCAAGTAACCTTTGCAGAGACATCAGTCAGTCCTTTGTATTCAGCCTCAGTTGATGAATGAGCCACAGTACGTTGTTTTCAACAAACCCATGGGACAAGATTGGTCCCCAAAAATACAGCAAAACCACTAGTAGATTTGCGATCATCAGGATTGCCAGCCCAATCCGAATCAGAATATGCATGAATATCTAGAGAAGGAGAAAATGTAATCTTAAGACCAAGATGTAGTGTCCCATTTACATACCGTAACACCCTCTTGAGAGCTGCCCAATCCGCAGTAGAAGGAGAGTGCATGTGTTGACACAAACGATTGACTGCATAGGAAAGATCAGGCCGAGTTACTGTAAGATATTGCAGAGCACCTGCAAAGCTGCGATACTGAGTGGGATCAGCGTATGGTACCACGGCATCAGTCTCGGCCTTCGTGGTTGAAACCGGAGTAGCCAGGGGCTTGCAATCAACCATACCTGCTCGTTTTAGAATATCCTTCATGTACCGTTGTTGAGATAGAAGCATGCCATCAGACAACGGAACGGTCTCAATACCCAGAAAGAACGAGGGCACACCCATATCACGAACTTTAAACTCAAGAGCCAACTTGTCAATAAGAGCAGTCACATGAGCCGGATCAGATCCCATAATCAAAATATCATCCACATAAACTAGAAAGTATAGACGAGTATTGCCATGTGAATATATAAATAGAGAGACATCCGTCTTGGAAGGTGAGAAACCAGCAGAAACCAGAAAATCATGCAAACGAGTGAACCAAGCACGGGGAGCTTGCTTAAGCCCATATAAAGAACGTTGAAGGAGACAAACATGCCCGGGCATCGTTTTGTCTTCATAGCCAGGGGGCTGGCTCATGTAAACCATCTCAGCGAGATTGCCATTTAGAAAAGCATTGTGTATGTCCAACTGTCGAATAGTCCATCCACGAGAAATAGCTAAGGATAAAAGAAGACGTACCGTTGTCGGTTTAACCACGGGACTGAAGGTCTCAAAGAAATCCTCACCAGCAACCTGATTGAATCCCTTGGCAACCAAACGAGCCTTGTAACGTTCAATCGAACCATCAGCTTTCCTCTTGGTTCTAAACACCCACTTACAGCCAACCACATTCATACCTGATTTAAAAGGAACAAGCCGTCATGTATTGCTGTGCACCAAGGCATTAAATTCCAAATCCATTGCATCCCACCATTCGGGAAATTTGACCGCTTGAGTAAAACATGTAGGCTCAATAGTGATGTCAGTAGATAAAGCAACATGATCATGCGGTCCCGAGCTCCGCGTATTCATCGTATGAGATCGAACGGGCGAGGGCGCAGGACGGGATCGACCACGGGGTCGACCCCTCGGCCGAGCAGGCGACAGGTCCGTGACTATCCGCTCGGACTCGGTCACAGACGGCTCGGCAGGAACGGGCTGCTGGCGGTGTGGCTCAGGCACGGCAGGATGATCAAAGGAAGAGACATCACTCGGCTCACTAGGAGGCACAACCGGCGCAACACCCCATGGCTCCGGGCGTGGTGCGGGTACCTGTGAATCAACAGAAGCCACAAAAGGAAAGACAATCTCATCGAATCGCACATGGCGATAGATAAAAACCTTCTTAGTGTTAGTGTCTAAACAACGATAGCCACGAAAGGACGGGGGATATCCTAGAAAGACACAAGGAGGCGACCGAAACTGCAGTTTGTTGTGATTATAGGGCCGCAGATTAGGAAAAAACAGACACCCAAAAACCCGTAAGTATGAGCAAGAGGGCGGAGACCGATGCAAGAGGTAGTGAGGGGACTTATCAGACAAGATAGGAGTGGGAATTTTAATGATAAGATACACAGCAATTTCGAAGGCATAATCCCAGAAACGTGACGGAACAGAGGATTGGGCTATTAACGCCAGTCCCGTTTCGGCAACATGGCGATGCTTGTGTTCTACTCTGCCGTTTTGTTCATGAGTATACGCACAGGACTGCCTGTGTCGAATACCCAATGATGCGAGAGTCGAACCAAGCTTTTTGTATTCTCCCCCTAAATCAGACTGAAATGACAGAATTTTACGAGAGAAGGAACATTCAACAAGTGACCGAAACTTATCAAATATCGCATATAAATCAGACTTAGCTCGCATAAGATAATACCACACATAACGAGTGCAATCATCCACAAATAATACAAAATATTTAAAGCCATTTGCAGAAAGCATTGGCGCAGGGCCCCAAATATCTGAATATATTAATTCTAAAGGATGCGAACTAGTACATTCAACACGCGATAAAGGAAAACGAGACGACTTGCCTAATTGACAAGAGGAACAAATATTGGGCAGATCACTGGGATTAAACGAACTAAGACTAGAAGAGGCTAAAACTTGACGCAGGACCCGAGAGTGTGGATGCCCAAGCTGCATATGCCAGACGAAAGAAGACCGTGCAGCAATGAAAGCAGCGGGAGCCGGACGCGAGGCAGGCCAGGCATATAAACCCCCGGACGCATGACCCTTAAAAAGGGTGTTCCTGGTTTGAATGTCCTTCACAAAGAAACACGAAGGGTGAAACTAAAAAGAGACATTATTCTCTTTAGCAAAACGTTGAACAGATAATAACGAAGAAGATAGACCAGGAACATGCAAAACATCAGACATACGAAACGACCTAGAATTAGTGGCTAACGAACTAGAACCAACAGTATAGGCAAACCTGTACCATTGCCGACCCGAAGTGTCTCCGGACCATCATATGCAGTAGAGGACGTCAATAATGTGGGACCAGGGGTAGCATGATTTGTGGCACCAGTGTCAGGAAACCACTGATGAGAGTCGTCCATAAAACCATCAACACCAGATACGACAACATTCGCCTGAGGACCAGGATCAGGAGTGAAACGACGCCAACACGCCGTAGCTATATGCCCTTGCTTGTTGCAAATTTGACAACGAGGGCCCGAGTTGGACCGCCCCCGGCCACGACCGCCGTGCCCCCTGCCGCGGCCGCCACCGCCTCGGTTTTGCGGGCTGCCACCGCGACTGCCGTGACCACCACGGCTTACGGCCAAGGCCGCTGGTGCACCGAGAGCCGCACCATCGTCCGAACAGATCCACTCCTGCGAAACAAGAAAATCTGCAACCTCCGGTAGGGGAACAGGCGCACCACGGGCTAGAGTTGCCACCAACGGTCGGAACTCAGGGCGTAAACCGTGAAACACATAAATTCTGATCATCCAACTCAACATGGCGACCGGCGAGGGCCAATTCATCAATCAACATCTGGGCACGACCGAGGTAATCAGATATCAAGGAATCACCTTAACGGAGCCCTTGAAGTTCGCCGAGTAGCCGGAGCGCACGAGAGCGAGTAGACGAACCTAGGGTTTGTTCGATTACCTGCCAAAGCTGTCGAGAGGTGCCCTTGCCGACGGCGAAACGAAGAGTCTCCTCGGACAAAGAAGAGATGAGCATGGAGAGGATTGCCTTGTCTTGTCGACGCCAAGCGAGCTGTCGGGCGGGGAGATCGGAAACCGCCGCTGGGGCGCTGTCCGCGGTTGACGTTAGGGCCGGCGATGCCGTCAGAAAGGGTGTTGTACCATCAACAAACCCTAGAAGCCCTTGGCCTTCAAGAAACGGAAGCATCTGAGTTCGCCAGAATAGATAATTTCGGGAGGTCAACTTTAAAGAACCGAAGTGATGAGCCGATGACAGGCTACTACTCGCAGGAATCGTAGGAACCTCGGTAATGGTCCGTTCCGAAGAACCAAGAACAGAGCCGTCATTAACACCGACGTTTTCCATGAGAAAAAAAAAACCTAGCTGATACCATAATAATATCTAAGAGTACAGGGAACGAATATATATAGATGCTAGATAGAATCCTAGTCTAACACGAATAATATAGTCCTAGTCTAATATGGATAATATAGTCCTAGTCTAATATGGATAATAGAGTCCTAATAGCAATCAATTCCTCCTTTTTAGGGGATACAATTAGGGGGTTATCAAGCATAAATAGTGGCATAATTGTCTTGTTGAGACATCATCTTCATCTCTATTGTCTAAACATTCATTTTAATAGCATTATTACATACATTCTTTGTAATCATCTTGCAACCTTGTTATCAAAACAAGTTTGTCCACGTGATGTATACGCGTTCATTTGCTATTTACCGTATTATCTTTATTCTTTAATTATCGGGTTTGATAATTTGGATCATTCGGATTAATTAAATCCATCATTAGTGCTTTCATTGAGAGCTCGACATACAAGTTCGCGCGTGATATTCACTAGCTATGACAAGATTGGGACCCAACTCTCGAAATTAACACGACTCATGCAACAATCGTGCTACCCTGAGCGGGAACGACCTTAACGGAGCAGCTAGAATAATGAAACTTTTGGAATAAGAATATGTATTTTATAAGTTAGAATAATGTATTTTATAAGTTAGAATAATATATAATGTACTTAT